TTACGGTCCACGGCGAACGGTACCGTGAACACGCCTCCCTTCGAAGTTTTTGAATAGACTAATATTAGTTTTAAAATACGCTAAATATTAGTTTTTAATAGACTAATATTAGTTTTTTAATAGACTAATATTAGTTTTTAAATATACTAATATTAGGTTTTTAATGCGATTGAAAAATATCATTTATAAAACTGTTGATTATTATGCCTTACGTAAACAATATATTAGAATAAAATAATTATTTATAACTTACGGTTTGCATTTCATTGCTGAAACTTTCCCTTTTTCCCTTTCTCCTATCTTTTCTGCTGGCTTATGCCTGTTAACAGAACAAATCATAATTATTTTATACACTGCTGCAATATTCTAAATCTATGAATGAATCAGCTGTTAGAACGAAATAATACGCGGCTATTTATATATACAATCATTTAACAGTGTCATGGTCAAATCGATCTAATCTAACGATAACCCCCCCTCAGATAAATATACATGTATATCAATATTGCCGTACATGTTTTTGTATTATCCCAACACATTCTGCTTGGTTTAAAATAGTTTCGCGGTATTTATAGTCCGCCTGTGTGCGAAATTGCCTATTTTAGATTACATTGCAGTATTGAATACGGATTTGTTATAATAATGACTCAGTGGGATTTCGTAATAATTAAAAGGAAGAGATTGTGTCGTATACAAGACAAGGCGGTCCTAACCGGTAGCCAAAATACAAAGTCCGACCGACCAAAAAAAAAAAAAAAAAAAAATTTTTTTATAGAATAATAAAATTAAAAAATATAGATAAATCTCCCATAATGGCCCTTTAATTGAAATATCCCTCCCACAATCACCCGTAACACCAAACACTCACATATTCCCCCTTCAAATAAACGAAAACAGGTTATTTTGTCAGTGTTCATACTAACACGTTATTAAATAAAATAACAAAATGAAATTTTAAAAAAGTATCTTTATAATGAATTGTAATTAAACATTTCACAGTCGGTGGTGGGTATGTAGAGGATTATAGCTGTTTACTGAGGAGTCATAAAATATTTTTGGTGATGTATAACCTTGATAAACGTATGATTAAACTAGTCTCTGCGTATTTGTTATTTTAATCGTTCGTCACCCCCTGCAATAAATCTCATCCACGATAAATTCATGTTACTCATTTTTTATTTTAGGGAGTATCCGATCACGTCTGTCTGACATCGGTTAATTCAACAAGGGCGGTTTGGAATAATTAAAAAAATATGTTGAAATAATGAATATGTCCATTTTAACTACCAAATTACCCAACAACCTGTACTGTTATACCTATTTGTTTTACAACGACAGTTTGAGGAAAAATATTAGCACCTTCTGACCCGCGGGACTGATATGGGAGTGTAGATGATCAAAGTTCAAAGATTTTGTTTAGGATGATCACGGGGTCGGATTGGGGGTAGGGGGATGTTGCCAGACCATCAGCTACAAACAGTCTTTGGTGGGCTTGAACGTGTTGGACAAAATATGGTATAAAGGCTGATTTGTTAATTGTTGAGTATCCCCCGCCCCCCCCCCCCCCAAAAAAAAACAAACTTGCAATTTGTTTACTCTGTACAAAGCTGCCAAGGCATTCATTACAAGAATGGTCGTTGATAATGCAGTAAACGTTAACGTGATAACTATCCGGGGATAACTACAGCGTCTGCATGATAAATCTCGAAACGTCACTAAAACCTTTCAGAATAACACTGGCCATGGTCTGAGACCAATAAACCTTGCTTTGACAGGACCATGTCGGAACAATACTAATCGGGACAATGGTCTTCGGATCTTATAGGTTTTTTTTCCCATTGTGCCCCCCCCCCCCTCAAAAAAAAATCAAACAAACTCAACCCAGCACACACAAAGTTTGTATACTATAATGCCTGAATGTCGTGTTCAGTACAAAGTTTGTTGTCAATGTCAATAATCTTATTAACGTGCTGTATGTGTAAATAGGTCAATAACAAGAGTAGGTTTATTCGGTCACCTACTGAAAGAATATATAAAAATAGTACACCAATAGAAATTACGATATCACCAAACAACATATTTAAAAATGAGAGAGAGAGAGAGAGAGAGAGAGAGAGAGAGAGAGAGAGGGGGGGACCGGAAGACCAGCAAAGAACCCACGAGACTAGACAGGCGACCCTACTCCTTGTCACGTGCAAGCAGAGACTCGAAACTACGCCACTTGACTCAATGTTGGGTAAAAGGAAAACAGTTAAGGCATTGTCTGCAACAGGGATTCGACAGTTTCATAGGGCAGTGACATAGTTTCAGATACAGCCTTAATGCTCTGGGCTCTGGTTTCAAGGACGCTTAAATCGATGGCCTGGTATAAGCTAGTCTTTTTATGTACAGCTAAAGATTGAAATTATACATGTATACCAGATAGATCATTACCAAAGCACTAAAATTTAGAAATTCAAAATCGCTGTGAAGTACCGATTTAGCTACGAACCATAACAAAATTGGCTTGGGAAGCCAGATTGGAAGCATCTGATTAAGAAAATAAATTAAATCAATAGAAGAAGTTAGAAATGGAATAATTCGATTAAAACCATAATGTAGATGGTATGTTCTGTTTTGTTATAGAGGATCGGGAGATCTAAAATAGATATTTGACGGTTCATAAATAAAGTGGACAGACAGATTATCGACCGAATATTATCGACTGAATATTTAAAAACTGTATTGTAGACTTTACAAGGACTATTCTAGTAAGGGCATTAACATTATGGCCTCCCCACAAACCAAGTGTTATTCAGTACTCGACGCTTTAGAGCAATCCACAGAGTAAGTATCAAATGAGAACAATATCCACAGGAGGCATGGGACCGTGATTCCTATTCAAATCTATGTAGAAACCAGACCAAGGCGAAGATAAATAAAGACCAGTTAGTTTACCATAGTAAATATAGCAGCGGTTAACAACTACTTCCGGGATGAACTGGACATACAACATTAATAAAGTTATTGCCAAAGCAGTTCTGAGCCCCTTATATTAAAATGGGAGTAAGCTTTACAATACAAAAAACACGTAGGTTCTAATTATAGACCAGTATCTTCTTGGTACGTTGGGCCAAGGTTTTGAAAAGATTATATTACGCAAGCATGTTTATAAATGTGTGGATGTTCTCTAAACCTTTGGACGACAGGGAAAAATCACAAAAACAACGCCTTTTCCTTCTGGCCTCTAATGAATTTCTGAAATTTACAACTGAAAAACTTGGGAAATAAAACATCAAGGCTGGTTTTTTTATTTCAAGGTTTGCAGACCTCTTCCATAACTAGCAATAATATAAAATATACTTTATCTATTAGGAGTATAGTGTGCTGATTAAGGGAATGAACATCCCTGATCTTTTTGATATAGATAAAAAATACAGTTCATTTGGCAAGGCCGTTTTTTTGTGTATGATTAAGATCTGGCATAATACCAAATGACATGATATAACAGTTTCGACAATTTATATATCAAAATATTATGTAAGGGGCAATATTCCCCCAAAATAATCAAGTATTGTACAATAATCGTGATGACTTTGACTTTCCCATTGTTAACTTTCCATTTATTAGTAGTAACATTCCAATATCACCAGCTTATGGAGTGTTTGTGTCTCAACTAATTCGTTACGCGAAGGCTTGTTCATTTTATTCTAATTTTTTTAAGTAGATTGAGGCATTTGTCATCTAAGCTTCATCTACAGGGATACTTGCGAACTAAACTTATTAAAACCTTTAAAAAGTTTTATGGGCGTCATATTGACTTGATTGGTAAATATAACATGTCTCTCTCGGCTATTATTCTAGATATATTTAATTGACGCGTATACTATCTCCCTGATAATGTCTGTTTACTACAGGGGGGTTGGATGGCTGAATGGTTAGCGTGCGCGCGCTGTATCATAAAGTCTGTCATTGAGTCGACTGGCGTGGTTTCGAATCCCCGGTTGTACGTGGCAAGGAGTAGGGTCGCCTGTCCAACCTCGTGGGTTTTCTCCCGGGCCTCCGGTTTCCTCCCACTGCTAAAGACCCCTACGCACAAGCGAATTATGTAAATAAAATTAAACCATATGTTAGTCCCGAAATGACCTAGTTTGTGTCGAGTGGACGTTAAATCCCATTTCTCTCTCTCTCTCTCTGTTTATTACATCGTTAACACTGTCCATCACGTGCATTTTGCATACCGATAGTCCATTGGCCAATCACGCTATTTTACCGAGATTTCGCCTAATAGTTTGGATGCAGCTATGGCGGGTGTGGTCCCAGGCAGGGTAAGCTTACTCTTCCGGACACCTGTTACCACTGTTTGTCGTGTATTTTGTACATGGTGAACAGTCCATATGCTGATTACACTATTTTGCCTATACCGTATTTTTAGGACTTCGAATTTTGTCATGGTTTGGATTGTTCGTACTTGGTTTTATTTTATTTGCTCCTACATACAAAGTAACAAAGTATTTCGGGTGACACAGAGGGTGCATACATATTCAGATTGTTATATTTTACGCTGACGTTCACATGGAGGAATATGTTTCTAGACTAACTAATAATTCACACCCGTTTTGTACTACTCTTAACCAAATAATCCCTCGAATTGAAAAGAATTTAATTAAAATTACTTTTTTGTCTATAAAGAGGCAACGTTTTATAACTCTCCAAATAGCGAGGATTTTTTTTGCGAGACCTTTCCGGTTTTTTTTTCACCCTTTCTATTTGTATTGTTAGAATCTTGTTGGAATTTGAATACAATTTGGTTTTTCTGCTTTAACACTACATAGTAATCTAATCACCATTCTGCCATCCAGACGTTTTTTTTTAGAAAGAGTTCTGTATATCAGATAATCATTAACCAAATGTGGTTAAAATCAGCCCATGTGTTCGCGTTCTCGTCATTTACTACAATGCACAGCCCTTACACCATTGCAGACAATTTGATATGTCAGTAAGTTCACGTGACATGATGGCCGACCTTGAAAAGTGAAATGAATGGGATTTAACGTCCTACAGATAATAAATATGTCAGATGTTATTGGAGAACAACATGATAAAGGTAAATGACACATGTTTTAATCCGATTACTACGTAACGTATATTATACTGAATTACCTTCTGAGGTTAACATGATGGATTCTTTTCAAACTGTGTTAAACTGGCAAAATGTTTTACCCAGTGAAATACCATTTTGTCGGGAGAGTTTATTGTTACTTTAATTAAAAGTTTATCATAATGTATTATAATATTTTGTATATATATAGCTAACACATTTGCACTACTCTTGTTTTCACCCTACCCCCTATGAATCAAATTAATATAAACCTTATGATTAGGGAGGATCATAGGCCTTCCACCTTCGCTCTTCCTAATTCCATCTGTAAGGGTTCTTTTATGTGCACGATAATATGTACAGAGGTATACCTCGTTTTTTTGTCCCATCTCAATGACCAGGCAAACCTTGCCCTGTAAGCCACGACGGCGCTGCTACTCACAATTAGTTGAGTCATAAAATCCTTACAAATGCTGTGTTATTGTACAGACAAGTACCGGTACAAAGTATATATTTGAGTAAATGATCCGATCACGACCTTGTACTTTATTTATTGAACACATTGTCGCCTGCCGATATACGTATATATTTATATTATAGGTCATAACGTAATTCATGAATCATTGACATTAAAGTACCAGTCTCGTTCATTAAGAAATGGTTAGGGATGCGTATCATATTCAGCTTGTTTGTTTATACCTTCCCTATGGGAGGTTAAAACCAGTCATTAAAAATGTATAAAAAAAACATTATGTTGTTTCTTGAACATTCCCTTAATTCTCCTTTGAATAAGGTTATATTGGTTTTGAATATCAAATTCATTCAACCCCTTTTGGAAAGCCAATCTTCCTTTTGAATTCAGTTTTTTTATATTTTTGGATGAATTCACATTTTGACCAACGATTCTTCACTATATGAATGTAACACAGGAGTGTAAGCCCCAACTGAAATATACCAACCGCTTTAAAATTTATGATTGTAAATAAAGGAATTCCGATTCAGATACTGCATCAACACACCCTTATAATATCCCGTTCAGACGCTTATTTTTAAACCAGTTCAAAATCGCCGGGGTTTTTAGTCGTGTTGCGTTCACACGTAATATAAGCCAAACCAGTTTAAGCATTCTGACCTTTTCCGTCGGAGGCTAGAAGTAACTACGCATGGGTAACTGCATTTTTGCGACGACTAGGTTAACACTATCAGGTCCCATCTCATATTCGAAGCAGCATACGAAACTTCGGATGCATCGACAAAGGTATGAACGGTCTTACTAACAACTTTTAGATTCTTATTGATTAGACATCTTGAAATATTCACACCCCGAAGTTGTGGTAGTTCACTAAACCACTTATTTCAGGAATTTAGTAGGTCTCTTGGGAACGGAGCAGCCCAGTCAAGACCTTTTACTCATATTTCCTGAATACCTATCTTGGCACGCACAGTAAAATGAGAAAAGGGATTTAACGGGTCAAAGAGTGGCGGTCTTGCTCACGACGATACGTTTAGTCAAATCGAAATCTCATCTATATCGAAAGTAAAGCAGTCAGTTTGCGCAATCCATAGAATACCTAAAGTTTTTAAAGTCGGCAGTGCCAATTTGTCGGTAATTTCTAAGCTTCCTATTCGATCTCCCTGGGGAATGTCAGATAACACAGCTAGCTCATTTGATTACCATTTTCGAATGTGAAAACCGCCTAGACGCAACAGTTCTGTAATTTCACGTCGGAGAATTTTGGCTTGGTCAATTGATTCTACGCTATCATCAACGCATACATGGAATTAAGTACTGATTCAATACCCCATGGAATTTCCAACGATTTGGATTTACAGTGTTCCTGGATTACTAATTGAGATAAATACGGAGATGAAGTATTACAGAAAACTAGTCTCTGATACTCTTATTGTTTTATGGGTTGAGAAGGTTCCAAGTCGCGCCAAAGAAATCGATCTATATTCGAAGAAACATTTCACTAATGTCCGAAGCGATGGCAATAGGCTTGCATCTAATTCTGATCAAAACATCAATTAATTCTTTTTGCAATTGTGGACCTGCGTGTATAGAGTCATTAAGTGATTTACCATCAAATCTTGCAGCGACGTTCATCACAATTCTTACTTTCGTTGTCTCTTTAGCCTCTTTAGCAAGGCAAACAACCGGAAAATGAGGGATGAACCAGACGTGATCCCCATGGTGTTCCGTAGTTGGAACTAGCCTGATATGACTTTTTGCTCATGATCGTGTATTATACTTTTATACTCGGAAGCTACACGTGGTCGATTCGCTAACGACCGTTCTAAGTTTCTGAGCCGTAATTGTGCCAAATTAAAATTATTTGAAAGTTGTGGTACACTATCTTTCCAAGGAATGTCAACTATATATCGATCCCCATTAAATTCCAAGTTCGATTTCGATTTATCCAATATCTGTTTTTCATAAGGTGTAACCACATGCGACGTAACAATTCATTTGTCTCATCTTGTGATGTGAAAAAGGTTCGTGCTAAATGGTTATACGATGTTGTACGAGGGTCTACCTCACACCCCAAAGGTTTTAATCGTGCAATAGGTTCACCCGGGCAACTACTAATTTCAGTCATATTGCGATGCACTTCTAGTAAATTCAAACCTAATAGGATATCTACGCGAGTGTTTTTCTCTACTCTTGGAAAGTCGATTCCATGTAAATGTGGCAAATTATAGGCATACCGTGACCAATCAATCATTTGTAAGTCTCCAGTAACATTTTTCACAGTGGATGCCTTCATGTTAAAGCGAGTTTTACCATCAAGGCTTGTCAATTCACAATTCACTAATCGACATCGCGATTGGTCAACTCGCTTCCCTCCTAAAACGGACATATTCAAACGCGATCCATGTCCCCGAAGTCCTAATTCTGAAGCGAATTATTCACTTACGTAAGAGTCAGTTGAGCACTCGTCTAAGTGAGCATTTACTCGAAGTCTGCGTTCCCTATTGATTAGCCACACTGGGACAATGCGGATAGCTACCTTATCACCACCTGGAGTACAAAGATACGGGTTTGGTCGAGTACGAGTCGAGGTTTCATGTTCAGTGGGAGCAGAATACCTGTTGTATTCCCCTCCGGGGTGGTGGGATCAACGACAATCACCAACATTGCACCGACGAGTAAACTTACGGTTACTTCCATGACGGAACGCAGAAAGACATCGAAAGCATAACCAGTACTCCATAGCTACTTCCCATCGATCAGAAACGTTCAATGACCTAAATTTTGTACAAGTTTTTGATTAGCATTACACAAAACACATGGAACACCAGAAATGTCCTTTGAACTAAAGTACGTGGCTTTCCTACATGATTATTAACATTTGACGGTTTTGGATACGAACGCGATTGACTGTAAACATTAAAACAATCAACTTCTTCCTGTGCTTCTACACGAAAGCGAACTTCTTGAGGTAAGCAAGGAAGCAAATGAACGAGAGTTTCAGTTTTCTTTTCTAAAGCAGACCATCGCTTGAAATTTGCAACATTTAAGGGTGATAATTTTGATTTGGCAACGGAATAATACATTGAGTTGGCTTCAAATTCTTCCACCCTACCGGCATCTTTAAGAGATATTATAGAAAGTTCTAGTTTATCAGTAAATTCCTCTAACTGTTTTAAATCATTACAATTAATGGGTTTCATTTGGCGAACAAAATCAAGATGGAGTAACACAGTACGACGATGACCGTCGAACTTCTCTTCGAGTCTATTTTTTGCAGCGGAATATTCACGTTTAGTGGCTGAAAAGCCTCCAGTAGCGTGAAGGGCTTCACCCTCCAAGTATTGTCCGAGTTGTAACATTTTGTAACCGTCACTGCAATTTACTTTATCTATACATTGTTCGAATGCATCTTTAAATAGCGGGTAATCTGGTTTGTTGCCTCTAAAATTTTGGTATGGATACACGTTGTAGTTGTTGGTACATATCTTTCAGTTTGAAAAGTGTTACTAATCGAAGGTGGGTGAGATGGGGAGGCCAAACCGATTTGATCATGCTCAACGGACGCTTGGTCGGTCGACGATGTTTGACTACTGGAATTGTCTATCACGTTTGATCGCCCTTTAATCGAGTTCGAAGCTCTCATAACTTACACTGTTCTGATAACTTACTGTCATCTTACACTGTGTCTAATTCTGCTTCAAAGCGTTCAACGTCCACATCACTCAACGACAACAGTATTGATAACTTCGGTCTGTAATCTTAACACATTATCAATACTTTTTTTCAATTGCTCTGTATTTTCTGGAGCAGAACAAACAATACTAATAAGATGAGATTTGGCTTTAGTAAACGGAGACTTTGCTAAGCGTTTCTGTTTTAAGTAATTCAGACTCAAGATCCTCTAGCAGCGGGATTGTTGCCACATCGACTGCTACTTCAGACATTTTACAACTATTATATCAAAATTTAATTGAAAGCATATTAATAACAATACCAAAATGATTCTGGCTGTTGACGATGACTGCCGGTTGTTGTTGACGTGGTGATGGAATGTACGTGCAGCTTTCTCTCCTCTAAGAGTGTTCATAACAATACATCACATACCATAATTACGAATAACCGCAGCAACCACGCTCTGCTACCAAAAATGGTGACGATGCAACATAAAAATTGGGCCCATAAAAATTCTATTAGCTTACCATATCATGGCCTGTAAAGCGATGAATAAAATATTCGATGCGATAGGCGGTCCGAGGGAGAGAAAACAACCAACAACAACGACTTCGATGGACAATCTAATTTTATTCAAGTAATTACAATTGATGGGATTATCAAAAGCATGCAACCAATCAGAACATAGCGTATACCACAAACACAAATCTCCAACCAGTACGTCCTCAAACACGTTTCGTCCAGTCATCAATGCGTGTGTATTTCTCATACGTGATACGGCAGCACGTATCAAACAGCTTTCTTACGGAAAAGGTCCATATAACATCGTCGTCTTTTTATTGTATTTGTTGCTACTTTT